TCTCCCCCACCTAGATTTGTAGGATGGTTAAAATGAGATCACTATAAATACCCACGTTCACTTTTAAAACTCAAACATTTGCACAGCTACACTGTGGATTCAGGAAAGACAAAAGGAGATTCCTGACTTAGAGCTAGCCCTCAAATAAAGGGGGACAAATTCAGAGCCTTCAAGGCTCATAGTTGCAGAGAGCTGGGATGTGTCTTTACTGTACAAAATGAGTAAGAACAAAGAAAAAAAAGAGATGACTTTTGCCTGGATGGGTGGTGGCTGAGGAGACTCTGAGATGGCATTTGAGCTTGTATAGAGGGTATTCTCTTAGTTTTATGCCTGATCCCCTTGCAATTACTTCTGCTTGAACACCTAAGGCTTCAATGTAAGGTGAGAATTAACTCTTTAACTAACATATGCAATTATGGGATGCTGTTTGGGGTAAAGGTTTACCTAAATTACTTTCAATACCTACTGGATGTTAAAGTTATTTAAACTGTTTATGCAGGTTCTTTGGCAGAATCCTGTGAAGCAGTTGTAAAGAATGATTCTTAAATTCAGTCAGGCTTTTACCAGAGGTGTCCTTCGTGTTGACATTGCACTAACCTGGATTTTGACCTTAAGATGTATTTCTCATTTCCTCCTGAAACCATTCCTGGGATTACTAAGGGCTTTTTGTATTTAAAGAAAGTGGTAGCTTTATTAATTTTTATCCCTGCTCCCTCAATGAAATAGGGGTTTATTTTTCTTCATAAACCCCATGGATTTTGATAGAAATGTTAATAAAAATAATCAAGGAAAAGGTTTTATGCAATATTTTCATATGTGCTTGTGTTTTCAAAGTAAATAAACAATGAGGAATCAATTTTCAACAATCAGTAATGGAGAGGGGGTGTTTTTCTAATACAAGATTGACTTAAGTAGATTCTCTTTTCATAGCCTCTCACTGACTTGTATTTCATTGACTTTGTAAGGAAAATGATTCATTCAATCATATTTTTAAAGGCATATGTAAGATAAATGTTGGGTTTGTGACAAAGAATAAACCTAGGAGAAAAGCGCAGAGCTGGAAGAGTAATCCCAAGTGAAAACACCGAGGAGCTGAGCAGGGCCACCACCTGCAGACACAGAGGTCTGCTCTCTACACTCCACCAGGGGCTGGTCACAGTGCCTCTGTGAACAGAGCTCTTTGGAATTGTGCCAACACGTGAACCCTACAGCTAAGGGTTATAAAAAAATGTTTCCACGTTCTTCGGTTCACACTGCCAACTTTTGGGTTCTCCAATTTTCCTAGGAATAATGGGGATACACTGGATCACATAAGCTTTCATAGCTAAAGGGCCCATTCACTGTTGAGCTCAGAGAGTAGTCCATTTGGCTGAGGCAAATAATGTAATGTTACAATGCTTAGGCTGCTTCTTTTTCCTCCATTCTAAAGAGTGCTCCTTCAAAGAGGGAAGGCACAGCCATGATGAGAAAGAAGGAGCCAAAGCCCAAGACTGTTGAGGAACTGGTCAAGTTAGGAGTCCTCCTACACCGCGCACACTCAGCCTTTCACAGCCAGCACATGGAAGGGCTCCGTACGCCAGCCAGGCACTGTTGTGGGTGCCGAGGATACAGCGGTTAGAATAAGTGACACTTGCAGGGAGCTTAGAGGCTAGTGGAGCTGAAAGGCAAGTTTAAAGACCATCACAGTATATGGTTAGAAACCATGGTGGGTTCTGAGAGAATACTCCTAGTACTCCAAGAGAACAGACTTTTGTTGGCAGGAGGAGATTGGGGAAGTCCTGTCTGAAGGTGGGACATGAGGGAGAGCCAGAGAGGCTGGAAGCTCGGGAGCACAGACAAGTAGGACAGTGAGATGGGATTGGAGGGACAGATGAAGGTTACATTGTGCGTGGCTTTGCAGATCATGTTAAGGAGTTTGGCTTTTATTCTAAATGCAATGAGAATACATTTACAGGTTTTAAGCATGGGAGTGATGTAATCCAGTTCAACATTTTGAAGATACACCTTAGCTCTGGGGTAGAAAATGAATTGCAAGTAAGAGTGAAAAAGTGTTAGGACCCTTTTGCAGTAGGCTTAGTAAAAAGCTAATGGTCCCTTGGGCCAAGGGATCCCTGATACTGAAGACATTAGCCTCTAGGGCACACAAAGGGTGAGCAAATGTTGCCAAACACTATCTGGGTAATGGAAAGGGAGAATGATACCAGAAGTCTTCATCCTAATTTTTCCCTTACTTAACTCACCATTTATATGTGGTGCAGGGACTCCCTCTGCCTGGGTTCTGTTTATACCATGGAGAAAATTATAGCCTGGGTCCATGGATGTCCACATGAATAATCAATGTGACCAGGTGCTGGGTGGTACTATGCAAATTCTAGAACTCACTGCCGCCTTCTCTGCTGCTTTCTCCTTTGTTCATTTAAGTTCCTGGGAGAAGCCAGAGGGCATTTATATTGTTTGTCATGGAGATGAGTGAACATTAAAATTAAGGATGATTTTATAGCTGTATTAGACGTTGAGACCTTTGAAAAGATCTAATTTAGTTGCTCATTGTAGCTATAACCCAATATTAAATTGAGGCAATGTTTTACCAATAGTAGCATATAGGTAAAATAAGAGATTTCAAAAAATTCAAGTCATTATTGCTTTGACACCTGTAATATAATTACTATAAACTATATAATATGTAAATATACATATTAAAAATTTAGGTACATGTAATATATATATACATTATATTATTTATAATGTATGACATATTTGAGGAATATTTTCCATTATTCTAAGTCATTTTAAAGCATGATACAAATATTTCAGCTATTTGTTAATCTACTATGATTTTTCCTTTGCATATTGTAGCAGGAAATCACATCAGAGACTTTAGAATTGGAAATAATTTTTAAAGATGAACAGGTATAACACTCCATTTTTTAAAATTAATTAATTCTTTTACAAAAGCAAATGACCAAAAGGCACTCCTTTATCATGGATTAAAAAGGTCACATTTCTCCCCCGCCAGAGAAGAAATGCAGACACAGTCCAAACTGAATAAGTTTTTGGTTGATAATTCAAAGAATGAAGAGAGAAAGATACGATGATTTGTAGTTTCTTTGTAGTGTTTAATTTCATTTCCACACAGTTAATTTTATAATGAAAGAAAGGTGGGAACTCCTCATTTTTCAAGTTTGGGTGGGAAGAAAGAGCACTGTTTATAGATAAAAAGTAAGATACAATTTAAATCAAGTAACTGGCCCCTTCTGACCATCTCCTTTCTCTTTTAGTACTTCTGCAGGTAGACTCACAGCATGAGTATCTGCTTCTGCATAGCATGAAATAAATCATTCAGCATTTGCTGCTATGAATCAACTCTCTGCATATTTCCCCCCTCAAATTACATATTCTGGCAAGATTTCTCAGTTGTTAAAGCATTTAATTATTGTGTTTGGCAGTCATGGTTGGTTGCATTACATAAACAAATGCTTACTTCAAACATTGAAACTGATTTTTTTCATAATCTGCCAGAAAGTAAGACTATTTGATATGCAGTTTGAATGCTCTATTTCTGATTATATAATGTAGGTCTGGGAATAGGATTTTGGCATTTGTCTGCAGTTCTTATGCCATAGAAAATTAACCTTTAGCCTCCTTTTTAAAAGGGCAAATCATCATGGATACAAGTTCCAAAATACACTCTTAAAGTAAGGTCCATTCTATTAAAAGATCCTTTTATCTCTAGGCATATGCACATCTGGCTAGTACTACATTATTTTTAAACATTCTGTATAATGTGTTACCTCTGCAGAGCTGTAGCTAACTCAGCCCCCCATTCTAGTCAGGGTTTAGATGAAGCACCTGGTAGACAAAGTGGATATTCTTCTGCCTGTCTGTAGAAAAAGCTTGCCATTAGATGCCTAAGTATATTCAACAGCACTTCTCAGGGTACCAGACACTTGTTTAGGGTATTACAACCACTCATTGTTGAGTAAAATTTAGATAAGCCAAAGACCTTAGTGGGTTATTTTTTTTATATAAGCTCACTTTCTAGAAAAAAATCTAATGCTCCCTTCCAAGCACTCACGCAGAGCACTTAGACATGAGGAATTTATTTAAGAAAAGTGTGTTACTCTGTCAGTCTTGTTCAGACATTTTTCCTCCCCGGAGTCTGCAGCGATGCTCCTCGTTCACAGACTTGACTCCAAGGCAGAGCAAGAGTCTGCAGAGCATCAGAGGAAGGCTAAATTCTAGTTTGGACATCATACTTACTTCAAGAAGTGGGAAATTGTACAACTCAGTTAGGAAAAATAATATTTAACAAAGGTTGAAAGATGTTAATAAGGGTTGTCAACCCCAAAGTGACCAGAAAGTTCAGTTAGGCAGAACTTCTCATCTCTTGAGGAATTTGGATAATTGCTATTTTACTCTAATGATGACAGAAGCAATGACTGCAGAGGCCAAGTTCTCTTCCCCCTGACTTTCTCAGAATCAGCTTGCTACCGGGGAGTTTCATAAACTTATCTGAGAAGATATCCACCTAAATGAGGAGCAGAGAGCTAGCGAGGTCAAGCTGTTGTTAGAAACTATTGCACAACTACGTTTATGGCATCTGGGCTTCACTTTTATTTCAAATTGCATAATGCCAGGTAACACCTCACACATTTCCTAAGAAAAGGCACACACATATTGGGAACTGTTTCCTGTTTGGAAATGTAGTGGTAAACTCAAAACTTTCCTATGAATTGATGAAGTGGCCTAGCTGAGAAATATTTAATAATCACAGGTGACATTTTGGGAGCTCACCAGGTGCCAGCAGGCAGTGTGGGGTAAGGGCTCTGCATGCACTTTATCATTTCTCCTGCACCACCCTGACTGGTCTTCCTGTGCTTATTCTCGCTCCCTTCAATCCACTGTCCCTGACCCCATTTGGAAACATGCCTAAGGTCACACACTCCTCAGTGTCAGAAGCAGAGCTCACACCCCGATCTGTCAGACACCAAAGCACATACCTTTAGCCACTTGTACTGACCGAGGTGGATTTGTTCACACGTGCTTATATGCTCTTGCTACTTCTCTTGTTCTTTCTCTCATGCTTCTGTAAGTCTGGGAAGAGAAAATCCCGGGGCAAAATACCTCTAAAAACCGAAATCAGTCAAAGGGAGAAATAAAGTTTACAACCTGTTTACTGCTTACAAACTTCAGTGGAGCGCCCTCTCTCTCCCCTGCTTCAGAAGAGGCGAGCAAGCAAGCCCCTCCCCTTAACCTCTCAGGTTCAGACACTCCCTCGGTTGCCCATGGAGATGAACTTCTCTCCACCCCTGAGGATATGCAAATGAACCAACGCCAGGCGAGATTTTCTGGAAATGTTACAATTTTACCCATAGGTTCCTAGATGGAGTGGGGTCCGGACTTGGGAGGAGGAATGTTCTACTTACAACCTCACCTTTTGGTTTTTCACATTTCTTATATATTTGAGGATTTTGTATCTTTTACCCCCTTCCCAAGATGAATTTATTTTGGCCTCCCGCCTTTAATGATAAAACTTGTTTTTCTTAGTGAAAAAATAATCATGAAGGTTATATACAACTGATATGATAAAATTAAGTAGCAAAAATGGACCTACATAAATGTTTCTTGCAGATATCAGATTGAAATACCTGTTAAACATAGATGAATCAACCACAGAATTAGTAAAGATAAAGGTACTAACCACAGATATAATACAAAAGAAAAAATGAAAGCAACAAAATGGCAAAATATGCTGGTCAAAAAATGAGAAGCTTGGTAACACACCCATATGGATTTATTTAAATGTGAGCACAACATCAGATTCTACAGGGTACAAGATTCTAAAGGGTACAGTTATTTCTCCCAAAAGGAAACAAATAGAAAACCAGTGCTGAAGACATATTTGACTTCGATAAATTTTAAAATGAAAAATTTTACACCAACCAAGTGAGCAAATGTCAACACTGGAAATGTTGTAGGGAAAAACGGATGTGTTCATGCATTGTTGTTAATAATGTGCATTGATTCAATCATTTTGGAGGAAACCTGGCAGCATATAATGAGAATTGTTAAAGTCTTGCTCTCCCATTCTGCAGCACTCTTTCTGGGAATTTATCTCCAAGGTGTCAAGGAGACAGGCATTCCTAGAGCAACTGCAGGGTGAGAAGCTGTGAGACATGGAGATGAAGGAGATAGATTCTAATCTGAAGGAATTACTGAAACACCTCAAAGACGCGGAAGTACTACACGTTCAAAAATGTTTTCAAAGGAATTATAAGGGAGGAAAATATACTAGTGGGTAGCCTAAATGCCTAAAGTGGAGAACTCATTCTGTTCCTGCATCACCCACACCCACACCCAAAACTCCTCTGCTCTTCTGAGTGAATGGCAGTGCCAGCCCCAAAGGGCCTCACCTGCAGTCTTCAGTCCCCTCCCTGCCTGTCACACCCAACCCGCATCTAATCAATTTCCATGCCATATGCATCCCACTCCAGCTGCCTTTATCCGGGTACCATCATCTCTGTCGTAGCAGGTTTTTATCTCCTTACTCCTGTTCTTACTTCCTCCAAACTGTTTTCCAACTTCATTGAGAGACTCTTTTTAAAACAGAGATATCACACACACACACACACACACACACACACACACACACACACACACATATTCAGCCTTACTGCACTGCTTGCAGTCACCTAAATGGATCTTTGCACACGGCACTCCGTATACCTGCTCCTCACCCCATCCTGGCTGGCTGACTCCTACATATTCCTGTTTGTTCTTCTGGATTCAATTCATGTATCACCCTCTCTAGGGACATTTTCATGGTATGAGCCCCTTTCTGATACACACAGATGCAAGACTAGGTTAGGGGTGCATTAGTGTTCACCACAACAGCTAACATATGCCCCTCATATAAAATGTTTTATTGGGAAAGAAATTCTAAATTCTGAAATCTGATGTGTGAATAGTCTGTTTTCCATTAACTTGGGGCAAATATCTATTAGCCTGCTTAATCCTTAGTATGTTTAGTAGTAACACTATCTTTTATACTATTTCATTAATAGTAGTAGCTACCACCATTTAAAATTGTTTAAAAAAATTGTGTTTCTATGCTCACTTCCTTGCTGTCTGCAGAAACAACAACAGATTTCTGGGACTGCCAAATTTGGGAGCCTTCAACAATCACAGTGGAGGAGGAGAGAGAGGAGGGTTATACCTCCAGTGGCATCAAGGGAGAGACTTATACCACTGGGAGGTGAGAGGGAGGCTGCTAGAAGGAGCTCACCCGGCAAAGGTGCTCCTGTCTGGGATGGTCCAAATTCTCTTAGACAGAAAACCCAGTTAGTCAGCTGTTCAGAATTAAAAAGTCTAATACCAGATACTCTCAGCAAAAGAGGAACGGCTTATAAGGTCTTTCCAATGGGTTCCTTTGTCCTTAATGTAAGTGATATTTGTGGCCCCTTAAATGTTGGTATGAGTAATATCTAGTACTGAAAGACAAAATGTGGCAAAAAAAAAAAAGTAAATATGTTTCTCCAATTTTTCTAGTCAAATGTTTTAAAACTGAGTCAAAT